TCTGTATCAAGATCTGAGTTCCTGTCAAGTGTCCATTCAGTCTGAAGGACTCCCCTCACATAGGGCACACATAGGGCCTTCGATGCCCTTAGTTCCGAAACAGAGTGGAAAGCAACACCCTGGGCTCTTTTAATCAAGTGCTGTGGTTTGAATGTGTTTTTCTCTACCAAATTCCTGTTGACGTTTCAGCCTCAGTGTAACAGTATAGAGAGGTGGGCATTCAGCAGGAGGTTAGGTCATGAGGTTCCAGTCCCATGGATGGCATGCCCAAGGACTGGCTTACCATTCATCCCAGCACACACACAATAGTATATTTTTCAAGTTGGAGGCAATGGCGTATGGCTGTGTTTTAATTAGCTTTTTTATCATTGTGACCAAGACACCTGATAAGAACAACTTGGAAGTGGAAACGTTTCTCTGGAGGATAYAGTTTCTGAGGTCTCAGTCCATAGATGGCTGACTCTTGCTCTAGAATCAAAGTGAGGCAGCTCATCATGGGTGAAGGGCCCAGTGGAGGAAAGATGCTSACCTCAGGGCAATAGGATGAGAGAGAAGAGCAGGGAAAGAGTCAGAGTGACAAAATGCTTTTCAAAGGGATGACGCCAGTGACGCACCTCCTCCAGCCATGCACTGCTTGCCTACAGTTATCAGCTGGACAGTACTTTCAACCTAGGATGGACTGAGTAGGTTAAAGGTCTCAGAATCCAAGCCTGTGCGCCATGGCGTGGTTGGGCCTTGCCAGGCCCCGTAGATCCTTCCAGTATTTATCCCAACAGATGTACCAGAGAGCCTGCCCTTCCCTTGGCCTGTGAACAGCAACATCCTGAGGAGGCCAAGCAGTCAGGGTAGAAGGGTGCTGCAAGTGCCAGTGTGCCTGCCATTCCTCTCTGCCTCTTCCATGTGGACACACCCATTCCCAGTGTAGCGCAGGCCTGACCCTGTGCCCCGCAGGTCTGAGTACCCCAGGACCAGCCCATAGCTGATCCTCAGTAGTTGGGTCGCAGAAGGCCACAGCTCGAGCTCCCAAGGTACCTCCTCAGGGTAATCAGTTGACAGCAGCAGGGGCAGGAAGGGGGTCACTAGGAAGATCACCACCTATATACAAGAACTGTGCTGCTGTGTGCAGTGCTTCCTCTGGCCCACCTTCAGAAGAAGAGTGGCTGTATTGGGAGGAGGCTTCCAATGACCTTGGTTCCAAAACCAAGTGGCTCCAGTGAACATGCACATGAGACAGGCAGACCTGTGGACAGCCAGAAGACCCCCACCTCTGAGCATATGTATC